TGTAGTTTGTTTAAAGCTAAGAAAATATTAATATATGTGTTTTATGCCCTTACAACCTCCTTAATATAAATGCAGACGTTGTCTGTAAAAATCTGTATCTATATACGCTAATTTTCATTATCAATCCGAACGAAAATGAAAGGTAGAAACTCGCAACGCAAATAATAAATATATAATGTTCACAAATTCCTCTTATATAAAAAAAAATACATGTACATACCTATTAAACTGTAAATAATTCATCGCGCTTTCACCTGTTTCATTTAGCACATTTCCGTTTAAGTTCTTAATCTTCAAGCCTACCTGCATCAAACGTGTAAGACACGCGCGCACGTAATGACAGGCTGTAATCATCAACGGCTGCACGAATGTGTTTCTATTTCTGAAATTCGGTGGCGCACTAGTTTTCACTTTCTTGCGCATCGGGCAACGGATGTCAGGACAAGTATAGAAATCCGCGGTCGTCCTCGAAGAGGCGCAAGAAACGGGGCTGACGACTCTCTCTCTCTCTCTCTCCCCGTCCTACCCTCCTTGTCTCCTTTCCGCGTGTTAGGGGCGTATCCGTGGCAGCGTGTCTGGCTGCTACGTATCTTGATTTCCAGTCGGCGCAATCTCTCCTAAGCTAATCGCGATAAGGCCGAGGGAAAGAGGGCCCCGGAGAGCGTGCGCCCGCGCCGCGCCGTCGGGGGGGGATCCGGGTGAAAGAGGATTCATTTGCAGCGTGCGCTAATTGGCTCGCGATTTCTCTGCGCGAGCGGACCTCATCGCGCCACGGACATTCGTCACGTTTGCCCCCGTCACAGTGGGGCCTTTCTGTCTTACCAGTCCCCCGCCGCCGTGACGCGGAAACAAGGCGATGCACTGTGCGGGTCCATCGCCGAGCAAATCGCCCGTCCGAATTTACGCAGCTTCTTTTTCCTTCCATCTACTCGCATCCTCCCGTTATCGCGCGTTTAATCTCGTCGCGATAATGCCGATGCTGCTACCGAGAACTTCTTGGGAGATCGGAAGACGACTATGAATTATTACGTTAATAATAATCGCGTATATTTATCAATTGATTTACATTTTACAGAAAGAAAATTTCTTTTATATAATAAGCGAGATCTTTATAAATAAAAAACAAACAATACACAGGGTTGCCTCAAAACTCAGAGAAATCAAGAAATTATCAGGGAAATTGGAAAAAATAAGGGAATTTTGCAAAACTTTCTAGAAAATAATATTTCTGGCTTTAGAAAAGGTTAATATGTGTATAACACTGCATCTACGTAATTTTGGAGAACGTTACCAACTTAATAATTAAAAATGCAAGCAGTGTTAGCAATATTAATAGTAATTTACATTGCTATATTAAATTAATCTTTCAACAAAATATTTAACAGTTTCCAAATCAGGACGAAAATACAAAAAATGATTGAAATATATTATTGAAAGTCAGAGAAAATCATGAGATTTTGTCTGGAAATCAGGGAAAAGTTATGGAATTTTAGGATGAGGAATTTGTGATAACGCTGTAATAATTAGTACTTAAGCCATCACGATAAGTGCGTAAAAAATATAAAAATTTGCTATTAAATTCCTCATATATTAATACGATCTCAAAGTATCAAATACAAAATGTATAAATGACATGTAAAAAATTGTAAAAATAATACGAAATGAAATCTGAAGGTTTTTAACCTGCAAAAATCGTTTTTTAAGAATCTTCGCATTTGCGAAAATATTAGAGGAAAGCCCCCTATTATGAAATAGGCGTCTAATATGAGATAGCAGCGTTTCTGCTAAACTAATAAACGATATCTATTGGTTTTACCATGAATTTATTGCTCTTGAAAACTATTTAACTCTTTAATGGAAAATTCATTATTAGAACATGCCTGTAGTATTGTTGTAAAAAAAGATTTTAGAATTTGGATGTCTTCAAGTTTCATTAAAATGAGGCCTTTAAATCTTGTGTATTACCTAATAAGTAAATATTTGGCAATAAATGCTTCATGTAATGATAGAGTAAGATCGTACTAATAGAAAAATATGGGATATGTTAAACTGCTTAATTACAGAAGTTAGATTTGGTGATCGTAAGGCGTAGAAATCGTAATATGATATCCAAGGTATTTTTTAATATGAAATAACCTATGCTCCCATGTCACAGTGAAAATCGTTGCTAAAGTATAAATGTTATTGTACAATAATAAAAAGAACAACCGGAATGAATATCGAGTGCCTATTTCTGCAATGCTTGATTCCAACTAATTGGAAACGAATTCCTAGTATAATCCATCGCTTGCTCATTTTTCGCGCACCCTGGCTTTGTTTGTATTTTAGAAACATTAAATAAAGTTTTTTAATTGCAATACTGATGTACTTTTTGATTATTGATTTCTCGGGACATCTCATACTAGGAGCACGATTTTTTGACTTTGCGATTTGCTCACTTTTTACACTTCTTTAACCCTTACCGTACTAATATGGGTAACTAGTGACCGAGCGATTCCTGTTCGTGCAAGTTTCTCGCAAGCTCAGTCAACCCGGCGTTTATTATTGTCGCATAAAAAAAATTTTTTTGATGGGGGGAATCTGTGCGCGGTGGTGCGACCCCGGTCGTCAATCTGCCTATGACTGACATGCAGTTTAAGGCGACGTGAGACACTAGTGACCCTTGTGAGTATACGATGTTAGCTTTTTTGTGAAAATAAAAATTGTGTCAAAAAATCATTATAAGTATTCTATTTTCACTCTAAATTAATGTCTGAATGTTTTTATTAAATTTTTTTTTCTAAAAGAATTATTTATTTTTTAGACAAAATAGATAAAACTGAAGAGGCGAGTCACGCTTTTCTTTACATATTTATCTAAATG